TCTCCTATAATCCACTCTCTGCTGCCGAAGGGATCCAGCTGTGGGTCAGTGCTAAGGGAAAGATATTCTGAGGCCTTCAAAATCAAAAGCGGCATTTAGAGCAAGGAGCTACAATGGCATTTCAGTGCTTCATCTTGTATTATGAATAGGCCTGTATGTTTTAAATACAATTGGATGTTTTACGGAGTACTTTACTGAGTAATAACTACATGCACTTAATGCATATTAATTGGTGTTTGCACTATTACCGAAAATTCGGCCTGTAGCTCATTTATGCAAAGGACAAAAGTGATATTATGTCTCTCAGTGATCAAATTACAATTTTCACCTGGCAAATAATAAAAGGGGTGAAAAAAACCCATAGGCTTCCGATCATTCGTAAAACTTCATGAAGACAAACGGCTGCTGTTATTCTGTCAAAGCATCCAAGAATCATTAATATGATCCTCAGTTTGGAGGAGTTTGTCTAAATAAAGTATCACAAATAACCATGGCTCTGAAGCAGATATCAGCACCTGAGGATGTTTGTGAGTGGATTAAGCTACCAAAACAAAACATTCCAGTCGATCCATCAAATTCTCACTCACTGCAATTCAGAGAAAGATATGAAAGAGATCCGTCCAGTAACTCAACTCTTAAACATTTCACGCTCTGCCTCGCTCACTCACTCACTCGCAAACACAATTCCTCACGGGCTCCCGGGGGAAGGACTTAGATTTCTGTATGTTTATTTACTTCAGCACAAGCAGTCTCCTGTGGTCTCGTAGGGTTCAGCATTCCCAGAGGAAAACCAGGAATTTCTTTCACCATAAATTCAAACACCCCACCACACAATTCCAAGGAGCTCTTTATCACTTCTTCTTATCAAAGAAAGTCTATCTTGGATCTTAATTTCTGTACTTTGTTAAAGGCTGTGTGCTCTAGTTTATAGTGTGGCCTATTTTAATTTACTTCTGTCTTTACTTAGAATTGCATTTCTTTTCCCAGGTGTTTTGAGGGGTTTTATTTGTGTTTGTGTCCTGTTCTTAATAGAAGAGATTGCTCAACTTGCTTTGGAAGCTCTTGTGAAAAAGTAAACTTTAGCATACTTTTTTAAAAAGTAGCCTACTTTTTACGGAAATAATGGGCTATGCTTTAAAAAACTAAAATACTGAGCAAGTGTCATTTAGTATATCTTTGCGACTTTTGAGCCCCCTACATTTAAGTTAGTGGAATTTACTGTAGTAATTACAGTAAAAAACTGTACACGTGCATTTCTTGCTGCCGTAAAGCAATCTGCCCTTTTTGCGGAATTTTGTACCCATCAGCAAACTTGATACGGACGTTTTGAAAACAGAAAGAAAAAACCCCCCCCCAAAGATATTCACCTTATTTTAAGTAAGAGTACCATCAGAATGATTTTAAGGCTGATATTTCAAGGTTAAAAAAAAACATTCATGTGCTAGAAGTGCAAACTAATTACATGTTATTTACAATTAGGCTAAATGAAAATGTTTAAATTTATAATAAATGCAATTAGTTGAACATTTTGGCCCACTTAAGTGGGACGTAAGTACATTTTTACATGTAATTTCATAAATACGTCTGTTGTCTTTGAAATCTGGTTAAAGTTAGCATTTATGTAAATTAAACTTCTGTTGAAATTGAAAATGTCATGTATTTACATTTCTAAGTACACATTTGTAATGATGAAGTTGCAATTTAGTACATTTAAAATATATACTAACTTAAATGTAATATCAAATAACACTACAATTATAATTATAATCAAGTACTTTACATGCCTTTTAAGTACTTTAAAAAAGGGAACTTAAGTGTTTTAAACACTTGAAAGTCATGAAAGTATACTCTCTGTAAGCACAATTATTTCATTTATATTATATTATCCGCAAGTAGTTCTTTTGAAAAATATTCTTTTAAGATGTGCACATACAATAAAATGAAGCGCACTTCTTTTTCACAAGGCAGACCCGACAGAAACCATTGAGTGGTCTTTGGCGGTTTGGTTGTCTTTCATGTAATAAACTTCCCCCGTTTTCCCAACCGTGGTCAGTTTTTGGAACAAATATGAGACAAACATTATTTTGTGCATTATTAAATATAAGACAAACACATTATTTGTACAGAGGTAAACTAATAAAAATGGCTGCCTAATGTCCATTGAGTGGTCTTTGGCGGTTTGGTTGTCTTTCATGTAATAAACTTCCCCCGTTTTCCTAACCGTGGTCAGTTTTTGGAACAAATATGAGACAAACATTATTTTGTGCATTATTAAATATAAGACATTTTAAAAAGCAGTATCACATTCGGAATTGCGATGTTCGTCTAATCTGTCAGCACTGCTCGTGTGATAAATATCTTTAACATAAAAAAAATTCATAGTTTTTGGAGCTGTGTCACTGAAAGGTTCTGCCTGTCATAATATATCATATGTTAACCCATGTGTATAAAACATAGTTTTTAACATATTACTCAATGTGCTGCTCCTGAATAATGCCAGAAACCCAGAGTTGACAGTAATTCAAAGTACGTAGGTTAGCAGACTTAAAAGCCCGGGGGCTTTACATTAACTAGAACATTAGCGCCATTCAACAATAATTACCCACTCGAACAGGGGCTCATAATTAGCCTTGTCAAAAACTGTGATTAAGCACTATATCCACATGCATGGCTGTATCCATGACCTACGCTGCTCTGGCCGGTATTTGCCCGACAATGTTAAAACTATTCAGGAGGGTGTAGCACCCAGTTTGGACAACAAACAGAGAAACTTGTGACAAACAGAATATGACTGGTAATCCTAGATACTGTATATGCCAGAAATTTGTAAAAGACACGCTCTGTGTTTGAAACTAACTTGTTTTACACAAACACTGAAGAAACAGAGACCTCGGGAGTGAGGAACTAACCAATGAGCATCTCTCGTCACTGAAGCCCACTAACAGCATAAATCCGGCAGCAAACCCCGTGGACCGGGGGAAGAATTGATTAATGAGTGATTGTGCTCAGTTACTTTTCCTTTGCTTTTAAGTGACCGTTACAAGCAGCATTCCAGGATGTAATTACTGTAAACACAACATACGCACAGCATAGCATTAGACGTCAGTCTGTGAGGCAATTACTTGCACAAATATTTCCACACACCCCTCTGACACCTATATACACATTTCCAGTAAACTGATCTCTGAGGACTAGATGGGTAACTTGAGAAGTGATTCGGTTACACATTGGAGTGTTATATTAAATCTCACAAAAATGAGCTCACTACCGTCTAAGAATTCTTACTAGAGGAAGCAGAGTATCTATTTTGGTCTCATAGCGCCATCTAATGTCCTAATTAACTAATTAATTCAGGGGTATTTCATTTTTCAAGAGGTCCAGTCTTACATAATATGAGTATTGCTATAACTGTCTACAGATCTACATACAAAGAAACAAATGATTTCATTGAATTAGTAGGCCAAAAACTAGAAATATCATAAGCTGGTTCTGCATGGTCAATTTATTTAAAATTATAAAAAATAAAATACAGGAAGTGCTTTGATTTGTAAATCATAAATTATTTGATTTCAGTTGAACTGCAAAAATAAAACGGTAATAAAAGTAGATGCACAGCAAAAATAGGAAGGGGTGTGTGTGTGCCATCTGAAGTGGGTGCCTACAGAGCAGACGGCTCTATTGATTGTGATGGGAAATGAACTAGTTTTGTTACATCATGATTCTCTCTTCATAGAGTGCAGCAGAGACGTCATATTTTTGTCTGCCAAAACCCAGAAACGCATTGCATTTTAGCACTTCCGGTTCCATCATGCTGAAGTCATTGGGATTTTTTCCACCGGATGTTTAGTTAAATGCTTGAAATAAGATCTGTGGTGAACTAAAGCTCAAAAAATGTCATGTTTTATTCTACAACATAAAATACACCAGTAATAACCACTTGTGATTTTTTTTGTCCCGAAAAGGCAGTTTGTAACATTAAACATCATCATATCGAAGAGGTAAACTTATCTACATACCGTATTGACCCGAATATAAGAATGTTTTTTTTTCTTGGAAATGCATCTGGAAAAAAAGGTCGTCTTATATTCAGGGTCTAGACTTTGACATGTCAATAATACACCCACAACAATAGGTGGCGCCAAATATGCATAAAACGAGTGTGCCATGAAATACGTAATGTAATGCGTGTTGTAAAGATCGTGAGTAAAAACAAGAATAAGAAAACCTTACAGCTGCATGAGTCGTGACTGTCACGTTAGCCTGATGGGACCAAACTCCCTTTGTGCTTTTAAAATGTAAGACAGTATGGCGGGCCTTCCGGTCCAAAAATAAGACATAACTTGTTGCGGGAAGTCACTATACTATTGCCAGGAGCTACTGAGTTTGCCACGACTCACCTTCCTCACACGGCGGGCGACTCACTCCCCGGCGGGCGACTCACTCTCCTCACGTTCCTTTTCAAATACTGTGATGATGCAATAACTAACTACATCTAGTAAAGTTTATAATTTTTGTGTTGGGTATATCAAAAAGTGTATATTTTTTAAATGTGATTGTAGGTACATTTTACCAGTTTTTACCGTACTCTCAAAACAAAAATTTAAATAGGAAAAATATGCAATATGAAAATAATTGAAGACAACATGTGTTTTACTGAGAAAAAACAAGATTTGGTTTTTAAAAAGCCTTTTTCCCAAAAGGTACATCTGGAAAAAGGGGGGGGTCGTCTTATATTCGGGCCAATACGGTACTAGTCCACTTGTATAGCCTTACTGAGTTTATAGTCGTGCTCTTGCAAACTATTCCAATAATAGCCTATGTTTAGACTTGTACTTCCGTTGAGTGTATTTAGGCTTTAAAATTGGTCAAAGTTTATGATGAACAAAATGTGCAAGAATCATAAACTTTTGTTGGACACACAGCTTATTTTCAGCAATAATCCAAACATCAATGGAAAAATCGTTCTGGGTGTTTGTCAAAGGAATCAGGAGGATGGATGCTAACTTTGGGTTGGCCTACACAAATACGTCATCACTGCAGCACCCTATTGTCATGACAAGCAACTTGCCTTCAGTTTTCTGTACAGTATGTTTAGGGTAGGTTCAATCAAAATAATTCATAGTCCAGACAAACCTAATGGTGTCCTTAATCATTTTTAATCAAATATATAAAAGCAAATAATAAAACAGTAAAAAAAAAAGCTCCCAGCATTTTTCACAGAGTTCTTTGTACTCACCCAGTTTCTTTGAATATGTGTCTAGTTTATAAGCAGCCTGTTCCAGAGCCGTAACCTGCTCTTCGATCTGGTTAATCTGATCCAGGTAAGGCTGCAAACTGGCATCTAAAGCCAAAAATTAAGACATCATTTAAGACAATCAATATATGGCTTGCATACTCACTTATCAGCAAATCACAAAAATAAACACTTGCAATGATGACAGTGATGTTAATAAACACAAGTGTACTTCGAACATTGTGATAAGACAATCTGGTTGAAAAAAAAAAAAAAGCTTAATGTCATATTAACAACATACATTGGTTGATTTTATAGATTGCCGCCACATTTCTCACATTTCTGATTGAGATCTTGTAGATTGCGGCTGATGTTGACGGATATGTCCTTCATCTCCATGTACTTCAGACTGGTGAGTTTGTCCATGTTCTCTAGGAGTTTGTAGTCCTCGCAGGTTGCTGAGCAAACGAAACAGAAATGACTCACAAAGTTCTATATAAATAGCAAAAGAGAGAAATATATTCATAGTTGTTCTTCTATTATTATCATTACCGGTGAGCTCTCCCTGTAAGAAAACTGACATTTTGTCAAACATGTCTCTGCAGAGCTCATTGATATCAGGTTGAGCGGGTTCAGTGGCCTCCTCTGCAGTCTCCACACCTCCGTTATCTGTTACAGACAGCAGACACTTTTAGTGTCCCAAAAAACAAGTGAGCTGCCTACCTAGGCGGAATTTTTAAGCACTAAATGTATTTGATGCCCAAAGTGCACTCTAGGTAGACAGTTTACTGGGTTTTGAGACACAGACACAGTCTAGTAACAAATGTACACAAAACGCATCATTCTCAAGCCAAGCACCCCAAAACATTAGCTTTAAAAATAAGCGACAAACACAACCTGGCCAATAGCTGCACTGGAAACATGAGAGAATCACTACTACAGATGAAGCTGCAGTGACTTGCACACAGGCTGATTTATTTACAAAAGCAGCTTACTGTTATTACTGGGTCTTTTGGCTTTTGGGTTGTCTGTCGCGTCGTTTGTGGCCTCGTCTCTCCTGTGCTCGGCTGTGAGCTTGAGGTCGGTCGGGGGAGCGGGTGCTTTGCAGATGCTGTCCATCGCTGCGGCCTCCTCCCCCGTAGCTGCCATTTTCAGCTCACATGATCACATGACCAGAACCAGTTTCACGTGACTCCTCGTTTCTGTCTTTTTTTCTTATGCAGTGAAATGAAACCGAATAGTTTTTTTTTTTTTTTTTATCTGGTGAAACGAAGCTGATATAAGACGATTTATTTATGAAGCGTCACGAGAATATGTGAAAACAATGACAAAGTAGTCAGATTTGTTACTCTTACTTCTATGTAATATTCTTTTTGACATGCATATCAGATACAGTTCCTTAATACAGAATGTGAAACCTAAAGGTGTATCATTAAGGGTTATAATTAATAAAGTATATGTCAAAAACACATGTTTCATATACAGATAATGAGATATGGGTGGGGCTGCGGGACAACTCTGGCAATTTAAAAAGAGTGAAGCGAAGAACAATGCGCTTCTATGAAATGTGTTTCCGGCCGAGTGCATTTCAAAATAATGATTCATTCTAAATTGGATTAGTACTCTTCTTCTTCGCTCGAGTTTTTTTTTTTTGTGGCGGATTGGCAAACCAACGTTAAAGGTGCATGTCCGCCACCTACTGGTCTGGAGTATGAAACGTACATAGTTCAGCTATGAATTATTCAACTATTATAGATTGAAAAAAAATAATAATAATAATGATAAAATAAAATAAACCAAAAATGTTTGCGTAAATAAATACAAAATTCCAAACTTCAAACTCTTTCCATTAATTTGGTCTGGAGGATGAAACGTACATAGTTCAGCTATGAATTATTCAACTATTATAGATTGAAAAAAAAAAGAATAATAATGATCAAATAAAATAAACCAAAAATGTTTGCGTAAATAAATACAAAATTCCAAACTTCAAACTCTTTCCATTAATCTTGTCTTTTTTAAGAAAAATATGTTTTGATTATATATAAAATATTGAGATTTATATATAATATAAACTATATATATATATATATGTGTGTGTGTGTGTGTGTGTGTGTGTGTGTGTGTGTATATTTATATATACATAATAGATATACACATATATGTGTGTGTGTGTGTGTGTGTGTGTGTGTGTGTATATTTATATATACATAATAGATATACACATATATTATGTAAACTTTTAGCAATTTTATTTTGGATGTGACAGCACTTTATATATATATATATATAGCCTAGAATAATTAATTTCAGATTACATTAAATTCACTAAAATTCAAACCCACTCACGTGATGCGTAATAAACTAATAAACTTAATAAACAACTGATCAATAAATAATTCTTTAAAATAATTGCGTATTATATAGTACACTTTGAGTCATATTTTACTAATTTTCACACACATATTAATGATCAGGGATATATTTTCATTCACACTTCATGATGTTGAATGAATGTAGGCTATTTACTTCTTTTTTGTATTTGTATTATTCATTGACTTGTGTTGCTACGCATGTTTCTTTTTAAAAGTCATTTTTTATATACATGCATTTTTCTTACAATATTATTCACATGTATTATTATTATTATTATTATTATGAATGCGTTTTCTACCTTTATTTTGAAAAGTATTTCCGTCTCCACCCACCTAGCGAGCCATCGGCGTCGCCAGCTTCACAGGCCTGGCGTGGCCCTCTCTCAGCCCCGCTGCCCTCTGCCTGTGACGGGAATCCATCGTGACAGGATACCAGCAGCACCACCGACTGTAAACATGGCGGCGTGCACAGCCGGATGCCTGTGCTGTGTGCCCTCTTACTGAAGCCCCGATCATCGACACACTTCCATGATGGAGACAGAGGAGGAGCAGCATATGACCACGCTGCTATGCATGGGCTTCCCAGACCCGGTGGCCATCCGGAAAGCCCTGCGCCTGGCCAAAAACGACATCAACGAGGCTGTCGCGCTGCTCACCAACGAAAGCCCGGGACTCGGATACGGCTACGAGCCGATGGAAAGCGGCCCTTCCCCGGGCTCCGGCCTCAGCGGAGACGGCGAGAACAGCGGGCGCACGGGCACCGGAGGGTTTGATCCTCCGCCTGCGTATCACGATGTCGTGGAAAGTGAGGTATGCTTATGAAACGCATGCATTTGTAATCATTCGCACGGTTGCTTGAGGCGGAACCACCGGGGCTGTCAAAAACCGGAGGGAATGGCGCGCGTACGCCTTTATCGCCTCTGCATAAGCATGTATTACCTGTTGTGCATGTGCATGCAACACCTGACAGGGATGTCAAGATATGTTCTCTTAACGTTGCATTCTTTATGCATGCATTAGCAGGTCACGAATAAATTCAGCAGAGGCATTCATTCACATGGCAGCAGAAGTTGTAGGATCTTGGGGGATGGGTGTCGTAGATTGCATTTAAACGCGTGACTTTGTCAGAGTTTACTTTGTTTTTGTTTGCGCGTTGAAAGAAGCGTTCAGCCAATGGAGTGTTTTTCCTCCTGATCAATTATTAAACTAATGTCTGTCTTTGCTGGTGAGAAATAGGAGGAAACGTGTGGCTGATGATTTACATGGCAGGTTGTTGGACCATCAAGTGTCATTAGATTCCAGCATGGCATCTGTTATGTTACCTCTGCAATGAAGCCAATATTCGCCAGTGTTACTGGGTTGAATTAAACCGACTGATGAGAAGCTGAATATGAATTCACTTTTGTGTGCTTGGAGTTTTCATTCCCACAGTTCTTGAATTAGGATTTGTCAGGATTTGGATGCGAGGTTTCTGCGGGTCTTAAGTCATCCTTCCACAAAGGTCTTGAATTGAAGCACGAAATCATAAAACGATGGCATTAAATGTTGCATGCTCTGCAACTAGCAAATTTCCTAATACAAATATCTAAATATCTTTAAATTAAGATGTTTTTAAGTCTTCTTTTCCGATAAATGTTACACGGGGTTCGTAGGATCTTGAAAAACCTGGAGAAGTCAAGGAATTTCAAAACGGCAATTTCCAGGCCTGGAAACGTTTTGGAAGAATGAATAAACCAAGAAAGTTTTGGGAAAAGTCATGGAGATTTATTTCACAAATCTCTGTGCAATAAAATATATTTTTATTCAGGTCCCGAATTTCGGTGTGCGATCGCGCATATATCGCCTAGTTTTACTCATTCCCGCAGGTTTCGAGTTTATAATGCGGGGAAATTCCCGCTAACATTTATTTAATATAAACATAAAACCATGTCTGTATTTGTGATCAGAGAAACGACAAACAACAAGTGCTACTCTACACTGCTCAAAACTCGCGTTTGAATCATCAGTGGCAAATAATTTAAATATAAAAAAACATACTTACAGGCTGTGAGTCAGAAGCGCCAGACTGTCCTTGCAAAGTTGGAACTGCCCCACTTTATAGAAACAGCCTTTGTGCCACAGACGCACTGTAGGCTACTCTGCAGGATCAGGAAACAGTCCTCCATAAAATGTGCTGCACACACATCTGAATATTTGGGTTGAACTGTTCTGGAACAGTGTTATAAATACAACTTAACCACTGATTTCTAATTGTGTCCTCTTTTGGAAGACCAAACAAAGTAGTTTCGCTTGCGGCAACCACATGTGACGACCCCGGGCTGGACTCCGCTTCGTCCACGGTGAAAGCCGATCCGGCGATCCACAGCGTGAAGTTGATGTATTCCCTCAGCAACCAGCACGGATCAGCTCTAGGCATGACGAAGCTTTACATGGCAGGTTGTTGGACCATCAAGTGTCATTAGATTCCAGCATGGCATCTGTTATGTTACCTCTGCAATGAAGCCAATATTCGCCAGTGTTACTGGGTTGAATTAAACCGACTGATGAGAAGCTGAATATGAATTCACTTTTGTGTGCTTGGAGTTTTCATTCCCACAGTTCTTGAATTAGGATTTGTCAGGATTTGGATGCGAGGTTTCTGCGGGTCTTAAGTCATCCTTCCACAAAGGTCTTGAATTGAAGCACGAAATCATAAAACGATGGCATTAAATGTTGCATGCTCTGCAACTAGCAAATTTCCTAATACAAATATCTAAATATCTTTCAATTAAGATGTTTTTAAGTCTTCTTTTCCGATAAATGTTACACGGGGTTCGTAGGATCTTGAAAAACCTGGAGAAGTCATGGAATTTCAAAACGGCAATTTCCAGGCCTGGAAACGTTTTGGAAGAATGAATAAACCAAGAAAGTTTTGGGAAAAGTCATGGAGATTTATTTCACAAATCTCTGTGCAATAAAATATATTTTTATTCAGGTCCCGAATTTCGGTGTGCGATCGCGCATATATCGCCTAGTTTTACTCATTCCCGCAGGTTTCGAGTTTATAATGCGGGGAAATTCCCGCTAACATTTATTTAATATAAACATAAAACCATGTCTGTATTTGTGATCAGAGAAACGACAAACAACAAGCGCTACTCTACACTGCTCAAAACTCGCGTTTGAATCATCAGTGGCAAATAATTTAAATATAAAAAAACATACTTACAGGCTGTGAGTCAGAAGCGCCAGACTGTCCTTGCAAAGTTGGAACTGCCCCACTTTATAGAAACAGCCTTTGTGCCACAGACGCACTGTAGGCTACTCTGCAGGATCAGGAAACAGTCCTCCATAAAATGTGCTGCACACACATCTGAATATTTGGGTTGAACTGTTCTGGAACAGTGTTATAAATACAACTTAACCACTGATTTCTAATTGTGTCCTCTTTTGGAAGACCAAACAAAGTAGTTTCGCTTGCGGCAACCACATGTGACGACCCCGGGCTGGACTCCGCTTCGTCCACGGTGAAAGCCGATCCGGCGATCCACAGCGTGAAGTTGATGTATTCCCTCAGCAACCAGCACGGATCAGCTCTAGGCATGACGAAGCGGATATCGTCCTCTTTTGGAAGGCTAAACAAAGTAGTTTCGCTTTCACAACGAAACACACAGCGCCTTCACGACATGGCAGCGGCAGCAACAATACTACAGCGAGAATAAAAGTTACGCCTTCTTTCTTTGCGTGAACATTTGGGCGGCGTAATGCAAATCTTCCCACACAGTGACGTAGACGTGGGGGCGTGTTAGAACGAGCCGTTTTAGGTAGGCGTGGACAAGTCTTAACTTTTATAACTTTTATATCTTATCTATTCACGAAGAGCTTGTAACACTCCAAAGAGAAAGGAAAATTTGAAATGGCGTCATATGACCCCTTTAAGAGGCCAAATGCACACCAAATTATGTCAAAATGCCCGCCCGGCGAGTATGCTTATAAACACAGTCGGTTTTGTCTTAAGTGAATGTAAGCAGTTGTTGAGAAAGAAAACCATTGTATGTATCAGAATATTGGATCCGTGCGGTTGGCCTTAAAGGGATAGCAGCCTAATAAAGCGGTGCCGTCTGTCATTATTGTTAATCAAACAACAAAAGACCAAAACAAAAAAAAAGAAGATCAATCACTGCTCTTGACTAGATAACGTTTTTAGCTTTAATTTGAAGGATTAATATGGTTTTAATTTACAGTTTATTTAATTTCTGTATATTTCTGTACCTGAATACTAGGCTACTTGTTAGACCTAAACGGTTTCCTAAATGCAATTCAGGTCCTGAGTTTAGTTGATAATATTGGTTAAATCAATTTTAATATTCAATGATGTAATATGTTCTCTGCGTGGTGTAACGTCTGGCACAGTCGCAGCTTGTCCTTATTACTATAAACAAATAGAAAGCAAATTAGTAGCATTAATAGTCATTAACTTTAGTTACATATGCAATGATAAATTTGAACAGATTTTTATTCTTCTTTTACATGAATACTTGTAAAATAATGGAACATTAGGTCATGAATATAGTAGTGAATTAACATGAACTAACAATGAACGACTCTCAAAATTCATGGAAATATATTGCAAAAAATGTACGAACCATGAATGTAACAACATTTCATGTTTAAAACGAGCAAATATTGCCAATGGGGTATAAAAACGTGTTTTCCCTATGAAATATTTTCTGAGAAAAGAAAAATTTATCTGAGCCCGTTGGCATACATATTTGGGTAACACTTTACAATAAGGTTCATTAGTTAGCATTGGTTAACTACTTTAGTTATCATGAACTAAGAATGAACAATACAGCATTTATTAATCTAAGTTCATGTTAATTTCAGCATTTGCTAATGCCTTATTAAAATCAAAAGTTGTGCTTGTTTACATTAGTTAATGCACTGTGAATTAACATGAACTAACAATGAACGACTGTATTTTCATTAACAAAGATTAATAAATACTGTAATAAATGTATTGTTCGTTCATGTTAGTTAATACACTAAAATTAATTGAACCTTATTGTAAAGTGTTACCCATATTTGTTTTTGTTTTAATCAAACTCTCTTTGTTTTAATCAATTTCTAATAAAACAAGACTTTGTATTTTATTTTTATGTAATTTTGCTTCTCAAGTAAATGTATTTCGATCTAAGAATCTTCAGACATTTGCACTGGAAAACAAGACAAAATGCTGAGGAAGACCATTGCTTTTTTTTTTGCAGTGTGATCAGAAGGTACAGAAAAAGTTATTTTCGTATTCTAGAGGATGGGAACAAGCCATTGATTCGCTTTTATTTTTTCTTCTAGTAAAATGAATTAAAAAGTAATGGAGATCTGTTGGAAGTTGTATTTTCAAACTTTGAACCCTTGCTAATACAAGACATTTACATTTAGAGACCATGTTTTCTTTACTTGGTCTGAAAAACTCTTATATTTGCCTTCATAAAACCTGCAGAAACCTTGGGATAAACAGTACTAGTTATGTGTAAACCATGCCTGATATGAGGCCACCGAGTCTGATATACTGCCCAACTGTTGTAGTGTTTATTTCACTCTTTCCCTCGTGGCTTCTTTGACCTGTTGGTCAACCGCAGTCAGAGCTGAAAACTAAGTGCTGTGGTTTTAAATGTCCATGTGGGTCAGTGCGGATAGACATTAGGGTTGTGACGGTGAGGAAATTTTCCCACCGGTTAATCGATGTATGTCAACACCGGTAATACCGGTATCACCGCGGGGGCGGGGCGTTCCCACTTTTCCTCGCTTTTAAATAGCTTGTAAAAGCGGCGTGCACATTTTACTTTCACTTTCAAATAGTGGCAATTCGGAGTAAAGCAATTGTTTGTTTTTAGTTCGTTTGAATTTTCCCTCTTTTCCTCGCTTCGAATTAGCGGCAGTTCGGCGTCAATTGCTTGAATGCAACAACAAAATACAACGTCAAACTCACTTTAGCGTGTATATAATACATAGAACTTTTATTAACAAAACAAATAAAAATACACCATGCTATAGGCAGGCTATGCCTAATATAAAATAACAAATAACTTGCATAAAGTTTAAATGTACAAACTGGAAACAAGTAAACATGTATAATATATAACCAAATAAATAAGAAACGTAGAACGTTTATTAGCAAAACAAGAAAGCCTGGAGGCACGGCATACACCTTGATGTCAAATAAAATAAATAAATTGCACAAAGTTTAAATAAAGTAAAAATCAGCAAACAATGTGGAACCAATTAAATAAGAAATTAATGTTTTAAAAAACTTCCAAAATCAGCTTAGATAAACGGCAAAAGTAAACAGGCTTTTCAAAATCCAAAATATTGCCAAACAGGCGCTTTTGCATCTAGTTTCGA